GACATGGCCCGGCACTAAGCATACCACTCCTGCATCGTATGAACATCAACAACTTGCTATCAATTCGAGATTTCAAGGAGGAGGTAGTTGCGGCTGGCTCGCCTAAATTCTGGATCGCGGTTGGTGCGGTCCTGAACGTCGGACTAATTGGCTCATTCGTCCTTTTCATGGCACTAAGGAGAAAGCGAGCTACATTAAGGATACAGAAGGCTTTGGACAACTTTAATATGACCGAGGACGGCCATCATCCTGAGGGGGGGGTAGTTAACAACTAAACATATAAGATACACTCTCACTGTCATACATTGTTATTTCTAAGTACGCAACACACAATCATGAGTATTTGGTTGCCCTCAGCAACAAATACAACAACACACAGCCTTAAGCATTTTTGGTTGCCCTCAGCAACAAAGTAGTATTCTTGTAAACAATGCTGACCCGCTGCCAAGAGTTCTGCGCACAGCAACTGAAAACGGACACCCGTGCTGCTTGCGCAAGAATGCTGAGTCGGCATGCCGACTCTAGCGTATGGCGTGATGCATTGGCTTCACAGGGGAAACTTAAGCTTGAACATTTCTGTAGCCTTCAGTCTCAATCTAGATCGCAACATTATAAGACGAGTGAATGATTAAACTCCGGCATTGCCGTCGATAAACATTATTTGTTTTATCAATCATAGTTGACCACGTCCAAGACGGGCAACTGGGAAAGTTCCCACAACCTAATCACATTGTTCCAATAGTCACCTGTTGGATTCATCACCACCTCACAAGGAGAAGAATCACCTGTTGAATTCATCACCACCTCACAAGGAGAAGAAGTCACCACCGTCCGACCAACCACACATCGTCGCCAGACAACGAAGTTACGACGGAAGACTTAATTTGTATACACTGCTTCTAGTGTTCCTATGCCGTCTCTGCTAGCTCTTTCTTGCTTTCGCGTGGCCTCTTCTAACATTTTAACCTTGACGTCTTCGAATTTGGGCAGCTCATCGCGTGTCTCAATCGCTATTACAAAATTTTCCCATGTGTCTGGTAAACTGCTCAAAAACATGATGACCTGCAACTCGTCATTGAGTTTGATGTCTAATTCTGCCAGCTTTTCAATTGTCTCAACAAATGAATTGACATATGCGACTACATCGTCACCCTGCTGCATATTGAAACGTATTAATTTTTGATATAATTGGACCTTCCTAATCGGTCCAACTGAGACATGAATATCCTTTAGTTTTTTCCATACGGCTGCAGATGTTGGGCATGACTTGATATGCATCAACTATGTTGGCTTCAGATTTAAAATTATGTAAGCCATCGCTTTTTGGTCGACACTAACCCATTTTTCGATATCCTCACCATTTCCTTCTGGCTTAACATATTTTCCACACACAACATTCCATAGGTCCGCCACCACCAAGACACTTTTCATGGCCATATGCCATACGTCATAATTGTCCTCACCAAGTTTTTCTATTTGATGCGACATGTTCATTCTGACAATTTCACCACGTTATTCTTCGCACGAAATAAACTTTTCAAAATTTAACAAAAAAGGAAGCTTTCAAAAACGTAGACACTTTGTGTACTTATTTAACCGAAACAACGAGACCTGGGCCCATAACCAATGTTGGGATATTTCTGGTGTGCCTAAGATGCACATAAAGAAAACACACGTAGTGGTTCAGATAAAAGTTTAATAGAAACTTCAAAGCATGAGTACAAAAATCTGAACAAGTACTCAATTACAGAATGAGTACTATGCTGATACAATGTTGCCAGATAATAAAGAAGCTTAACAGCTTATTGTAACTATTTTAACATGCCCAAATAGGACACCCAACGAAGGGGTCCTGTTAAAAATATTAAAGAATTTATTCTACTATTGGATCAAAAATAGCATATATTTTTATTACAACAGAGTTGGCTTAGGTGATGTTTCGTCAAGCCTGTTTGGGTCCTCAGGATATATTAGGATAATTGCTGTGTTTCATAAGTACTTAGTTGATTTACACTTAGGCAAACATACATATTTATACTTTATTAACTATTTAATGGTTAAAGGATTATAATCAGCATTGTTAAAAAAATAGCTAAATTCCGCTCTTGAAGTTTGACCTGACACCCATCAACCCAATAAACAACTTACCAAAGCCTCATACCCTAAGATCAAATCGTCCGTGATATATATTATAAGATCAATTTGCATTCTGCTCCTAACAGTATGTATGAAGGCAAGTGGTCGAGCTGGAAACTGGCGTTGACGCTCCCGGTCAATGACGCCTGTTTTTCTTACGGTTTTGCATATATGTGGGGAAAAAAGTGATTTTCGTGATTGATGACATTTGTAAGAAGATACTTGTATATAATTATATTTTCATAAATTGTTGTCGACCTATTTTTCCAGTATAAATATATGATACAGCAGTAGTCATGACAAGCTGTGGCCCATATATAAGGTTACAAGCTATCTTGCTATACAAAAAAGTTTTTCTTACAAATACCTTATTTCCGACCGATCGTTCCATTGATATTAAGGGCCTATCCGGTTGTTCCAACCTATGTAATACCTGCAACAGAAAAGCACGTCTATTCTAACTGTCAGGGTGATAGTTCTAAGATTAAGAGACTAGTTTGTATAGAAACAGACAGACAGACATGGATATATCGGCTTGGTTGTTGATTCCGATTTATTATATCACCTTCTATGTGTTACAAATTTCAGAATATGGAAAGTAAGTATTTGCGTTGACTAGGGCTACATAACAAAACGGTACAAAGCAATTACGATAGACCTGAAAAGTCTGTTTCACAATGTTTGCTTAGACGAGGACTCCATTGAGTACATTGCCTAATGATCCATATTTCAAATTATAACCAAATTCAAAAGAACGAAATTCAAGGATGAACTTCAAAAAGAGCATATCCATCTTTCTCTGCCGAAAATAGCACTTCTTCAACGAGCACCTTAGCGAGGATTCCTGGCTGTGGATGGCCTGCTTCGTTCAATCGATACTCTCCTACATGATAATAGCCGCTACACTATTTGCACTTGCGCTGCTACGGCGACCCTACAATCTACCGTTAATAACATGTGTACAAGAAAGTAGATTCTGAAACTTATTAATGGTAGATTTTCGAATAACCACTCCCCGTGGGCCCAGGAACGAAGAATTTACCCACTTCCCCCAAGTTCAGGTATATTTCCTAAACTGAATAAATTTATATCGAGTACCGGTATAAAACTCTTATATTATCGAAAGCTATCTATTTAACGAATCGGTCTGCATATTAGTGTATCGATACAACAAGAAAATTAAATTTAATCACAAGCAAAGATCTACAATTAATGCTGCACAGTTAAGGTATGACATGATCGGAACGTAGCTGAAAATTCGGAACGCCCAAATTCGAGCGGGAACAATCCTGAATCATGGTATTTTATATCTTTATTTAAAAAAAAAAAATTGTAAGAAAAAAAAACTATTTGTTAAACTATTTATAGGTATGCCAAACTACATAGCTCTCTGTTAGGCTAAGCTATTTTATATTTTTCAATAAAGTCTTTTTAACCGACATCAAAACGGTCACAACGTCTTTTTGATTTAAAACATGTGTTGGGATTAACAGAGTATTCTAACCAATATTGGAACGACTTGATACATTCCACACCTCAAAAAGCTTGGTTGTAGGCCATCAGGTTCGGGAAGATTTGTAGGGACCTAAACTTTCTATTGCCCATTACACACTACTTTGATGCAACACTAGCTGATATTTACTTCTTTTCACGACAGATAGGACAGGAACTGCTGCCTTATCTGTTGTGTGGTGCGCCCCCTTTCAATCATAGCGATCGGCTGCACATCAAGGCTTAATTAACTCGCCATTCGTTTCCAGCTGTGTGCTGATTGCTGATTGGGTTGCGGGTGTATCTTCTTATCAGACATATTTATGACATTTGTGTGTCATATTATATATCATTAGATGAATCGATTCAATTGCGTTGTAAAGCGTTGCGATTCATCAATACTAGGCCCTCTATTTAGCCTCTTGAGATCTTCTCATCTCTTTGTTGTAGAGTGTTAAAGCAGATTTGTGGGTAATCCAAACAGCCTTACGAACTTTTGCCTTGTTGAGAAAGTTATTCCACTAAGGTACATCTCTTTTATCTTAGGAAGCTTACAAGCCTCATGCACCAATGAGCTAATATTATTAATTAGACGGATATAGCAGATTTTGGTTAGAGTCAATGACGCAGAGCCCCATGGCCCGGTTTCGGCACTTATTTTGATGGTGGTGCCAGGTTTTCAGAGGCCATCGTTGTAGGAATCTAGCAATGTGTCATCAATCCCTTAGTCACGGTTCGAGTAACACCTGGGAGATGACAGTTTTTTCCTCGATTTGTCCTTTCTAGATATGCTACATTAAGTCAGAGCATGGGCACCTCATGCTTTTGCGTCGATCAAAATTTTGACCCGCAAAGCCTTTTCGTTACTAGAAATCTCCAACGGTAAAATCTTCATATATATATTTTTATATCCAGTTTCCAAATTAAAATCGAACTTCGGCACCGTGACTCGCACCTGATGAACACATCCCTTTTCCTGCCAAATTTACGCGGGATCTATTTTCTACGATAACGCAGCCGATTTTTGCGACTGAATGCAGAGAAAAGATTCCGCTTAGTACTTATAAAAAAGTACTGTCTTAACTGTTTGTCACACCAGTACTTCGGGCAATACAGCCACAGCGGTGATAAATGCCGCCTGTGTAACCTGGGTGAATGCAACCAGGGTCGTACACATTCGCTAGCACCCCTGCATCCCGTCCTCAACGCACTGCAAGACCAGTTGACATTGGCCATGCTGATCCAACAGAGGATCACCCAACGCCAACAGCCCTCCCTGAGGGGGCAAAGTTGCTGATCGGTCAGCAAGTTGCAAGCTACTGAAAGCTCAATGCCCAACAAGCAAACTTTCTCAAATTGAAACGTTTCAGTAATTAACTTAATACGGTTGTTCTTTTCTTTATTTATGTTGTTTACAATGGTTCTTTTAAAAAACTCTATACGTTTTTTTTAGTATATACACTAATTTTTCAATTAAAGAACATTGCATGTTTTTTGAATATTGATCATAGATCCCGATGGACATTTAAAAACCTCAGTCGCGCTGCCTCCTTGAGCAATAAGCCAACCCAATCTGAAATGTATAAGATCAAAACAAAGTACATTAAGTTTTTTACATATTTTGGTTCGCATATCTGGGAAAACTTTAAATGTAATATTTTAAAATTCAATTCTTGCAGCCAGGGCCGAAAGCTAGCTCCCTGCTTTGTCACATTATTAGCTAATGTTGATTGTTATAGATCAACGAATAAACTTTGAAAACAGTATGCAAAGTGAAATATTCTTCGTTAATGTATACAATAACCAAATTTTATGTGCAACAGGGAATTTTTTAAAATATTTTTGAGCGGGCGAAAAAACTTTTGATTAAAATGTTTCAGAATATAATGTCAATTAATTAATTCCGACCGACGAGCTTCTTAAATTTCCGATAAAAGTGTTATGTATGTAAACTTTATTAAGATGGGCATGCTTTGATTACCCTTAGGTGTTATTTTGTTTGCTCATTTTAAAAAGTGTTTTTAAGAACTTACATGTTGTCAAACTCGGTTGCGTTTGTGTCGATTCCCATGTAATTTGATTCAGTACAAAGTTCTTGGGCAGACACCAAAAAAAAAATTTGTGTTGGTGTCAAATTTAATCCTGGGAGGCGAGGCATTCCTTTGATAGGGCCAGTGAGTGAAAGCATTGAATGGTATGAAATCTGCATCCCTCCAGAATGAATTAATAGATCCATTCGGCTGAAGTTCGAAAATATGTTTACAGAATGCGGCACACAACGCATAGCTTTATCATCAAAGTTTTTCGTTATTGAACGCAGAATTTCCTTAGCAATAGAAACACCAATTGAAGCATAATGCAGGTATGGAGGCAAACGTGCATTAAAATATGGTATTAGTATGACCGACAATGGAACAACTGCGAATTTAAAAAAAAAAGTTTTATTTAAAAAATTCATGATCAAACCAGCTTATATACCGACCAATTGAATGGCTTAATGTGTCATAAAATATGGTCGACACAATAGGATACGCCCATCTGAAATTAAATATAAGTTAATATCATTCTTTTTTTTTATTTTAAAGCTTACGCGTCATGGGAGTTAGCGTCCATATTAATTTTATTCGGCACTATTTTATTCCTTTTATAAATCTCTAAAATGTTATCCAGCCAATTATCCTGACTAATTTCAAGGGGTTCCAAGGCTTTCATCAATTGTGTAGCATTCGCGAATCCTTGCCATGTTTTTGATTGAATTTTCAATGCCGAAAGCTTTACAAGTGCTGCGCCTTTTAAAGAGGGAGCTCGCTTTAAGTGAGCTTTTAGTGATTTAAATATTATATCCGCCTAAAAATTATAATTCTTGAAAACATTATTTTATTTTAGTGTATTTCATTAATTGCTATACCCGTTTTATTATGTCTTTTGAATCTAATAAAGAATGTTGTGAAATATATAATTCAGAAGCTAGTTCTGGTAATGCCCACATAGTAGAGCGTGTGCACACCTCCGGATTTGGAAAATCTTTGGGTAAAATTTCAAGTACACTTAGTAATAGCATTGAGTTGTGTGCAATTCGAGATGGATACTTTGTTAGAAAAGATTGCAACGCTTTGAGATAATCAGCGTTTCTTACAACAATGGGTCCGCTCCAGTCCTTCGGAATTAGCAAAGTCCAATTAAGCTGAAACAATGCAGGAAAAACAAATTTTTTTATAAATAACATGTAGGAAGGCTCTTGTCGGGAATGCCCAACTAGGAAACCCAACGAAGAGATCCTGTTAAAAATATTTAAGAATTTATTCTACTAAAAAATCGATTACGTAAATTTTTTGTTATAAATGATTATTTTAATGGATCAAAAATAGCATACATTTTTATTACAACACAGTTGGCTTAGGTGATGTTTCGCCAAGCCTGTTTGGGTCCTCAGGCTTTATATTAGGATAATTGCTGTGTTTCATAAGTACTTAGTTGATTTACACTTAGGCAAACATACATATTTATACTTTATTAACTATTTAATGGTTAAAGGATTATAATCAGCATTGTTAAAAAAATAGCTAGATTCCGCTCTTGAAGTTTGACCTGACACCCATCAACCCAATAAACAACTTACCAAAGCCTCATACCCTAAGATCAAATCGTCCGTGATATATATTATAAGATCAATTTGCATTCTGCTCCTAACAGTATGTATGAAGGCAAGTGGTCGAGCTGGAAACTGGCGTTGACGCTCCCGGTCAATGACGCATGTTTTTCTTACGGTTTTGCATATATGTGGGGAAAATAGTGATTTTCGTGATTGATGACATTGGTAAGAAGATACTTGTATATAATTATATTTTCATAAATTGTTGTCGACCTATTTTTCCAGTATATGATACAGCAGTAGTCATGACAAGCTGTGGCCCATATATAAGGTTACAAGCTATCTTGATAAACAAAAAAGTTTTTCTTACAAATACCTTATTTCCGACCGATCGTACCATTGATATTAAGGGCCTATCCGGTTGTTCCAACCTATGTAATACCTGCAACAGAAAAGCACGTATATTCTAACTGTCAGGGTGATAGTTCTAAGATTAAGAGACTAGTTTGTATGGAAACAGACAGACAGACATGGGTATATCGGCTTGGTTGTTGATTCTGAGCAAGAATATATACGCTTTATTATATCACCTTCTATGCGTTACAAATTTAAGTAAGTATTTGCGTTGACTAGGGCTACATAACAAAACGGTACAAAGCAATTACGATAGACTTGAAAAGTCTGTTTCACAATGTTTGTTTAGACGAGGACTCCATTGAGTACATTGCCTAATGGTCCATATTTCAAATTATAACCTAATTCAAAAGAACGAAATTCAAGGATGAACTTCAAAAAGACCATATCCGTCTTTTTCTGCCGAAAATAGAACTAGCGAGGATTCCCTAGCGAGGATTCCTGGCTGTGGATGGCCTGCTTCGTTCAATCGATACTCTCCTATATGATAATAGCCGCTACACTATTTGCACATGCGCTGCTACGGCGACCCTACAATCTACCGTTAATAACATGTGTACAAGAAAGTAGATTCTGAAACTTATTTATGGTAGAAGAATTTACCCACTTCCCCCAAGTTCAGGTATATTTCCTAAACTGAAGAAATTTATATCGAGTACCGGTATAAAACTCTTATATTATCGAAAGCTATCTATTTAACGAATCGGTCTGCATATTAGTGTATCGATACAACAAGAAAATTAAATTTAATCACAAGCAAAGATCTACAATTAATGCTGCACAGTTAAGGTATGACATTGATCGGAACGTAGCTGAAAATTCGGAACGCCCAAATTCGAGCGGGAACAATCCTGAATCATGATATTTTATATCTAAATTACTAACAAAACTATCGTTGGAATTAAACCAAATATTAGAAAGAAGATTGGGCACTAATATTCATTTCTACTTTGTCCCAAGACTGTTTGTCAAAAACAAAAAAAAAAGATTAAGTACCACGATACATACTTTTTTTTGGGACCTATTCCTTGCTCCGACTGTTACTTTTGTAAATCAGCAAAAATTGATATTGGAAAAAATTTGCAATGTATTTATACGCAATTACCTGCTAAGCTTAATTGCCTTTTTAATTGCTTCTAAAACTACAAGCACAGGAGAAATCGACCTTATCACATGAAACTACGACTACACGTTCTGAATGTTCAGGAGAAAATAAGCGATTGACACAGCGATTTAATAAAGCGAAAAATACTTGATGAAGGATGATATTTGCATTTGCCGTTCCATTTTCAGACTATTTTCAGAACTCTGCGAGGCGTTGAAGGTTAGTTTTTTATTTTGGCAAGGATTTTATTTAATTTTATTTATATTATTCCCTCTTTCACCCACGCTGTTCATATAAAAGAATCCTATGGAAGAATATTCTTAACATTTCACATCAATGTTGGACTGGTAAATAACTTAGTGAAAGATTTGTATACGGAAGGTGAAATACTAGAATACATAACAACCTTTTTTCCACTTTTTTTAATGGAAACAAGTAAGAGTTTTTAGACGGGAGCTCCCGCCTAGGGGATACCCTGAACCCTCCCATTCTTATATACACCAAATGTAGCTTGATCTACGCGCTCGTTTGCTTAAGTAGTAATAAAGATAAATTTAAAAAAAAAAGGTTTGAACTCGCAACTGACCGCATTACTTGCTGCCACCTCTACGCAACAGCCACACCAGCCAAAAAAAAAAGAATAGTTTCCTCGGCAGGGTTCGAACTCGTAACTGACCGCGCTTCTATCCGCCGCCTCTACTCATTAGCCATACCAATAACTAAGTCTTAATGAGAAAAAACGAATTAAAATAGCAGCACAGCAAACAATACAATCGCAATTGCAATGCTGTTGATAGAATTCAAAGAAGACGCGCATGAATGTGTGTACATGTATACAGAAATTCTTGGAATTGCTGCTGCACGTGTTTGCAGGCCATTTCTTTCGTGTTTCTTAACTGATCTTGATGAAATTTTCAGTAGTAGATCTTATTGTACTATAAAATATTCGTGTATTCTGAAAATGACAATTGCATTTAACTTGTGGCTTAATTAAATAGGCAATACAAGTTGGTTTACTAACATGATTTATACCTTTTTGGTGGTAGCGGGGAGGTGGCGATAGCTATAAAATGAAAGATACTTGATATATATATACTACTCTAGTAGCTACATGTCAAGTTTAGTGACTCTAGCTCTTATTATTTAGCAAAATTGCTCAAAAAACATGATTTTGAATATCTATTACTTCGAAACGGGGCCAGTTATCGATTATCGGAAGCAAACTCTATCTGCGCATGGACTAGGAGGACCTGCAGCTAAAATTTCAAGTCTCAAGCTCAAATAGGTTCTGAGATCCTTGCGTTCATACATACTGACAGACGGACGGACGGACAGACAGACGGACATGGCTAAATCGACTCGGCTGTTGATGCTGATCAAGAATATATATACTTTATGGGGTCGGAGATGCTTCCTTTTGCCTGTTACATACATGTGCACAAATACATTATACCCTTTTTACCCATTTTCAATGGGTTCAGGGTTTAAAAAGGCTACTTGAGATTTGAGAAATTTTACTCTATTTTGTCATCAGATAAAAAAGCAGCGTGGAGTCTCATCCGATAAATGATAGCACACGTTTTGGGCAACAACAGAAGTGCACATTATATTAGAATAGTATAAATATTGATATCAAATCATGTAAAAATTTTAGCAAAACTCATATTCTGCTCCCCCACTTTGACTTTTGGCGGTTAGCTTAGGCTCATACACATACTCCGCGTGCTTAACACCACACGCAAACAAGTCCAAGCTACCATCAATAAGCCACCATATCGCACGACTAATGCGCCTATGCATCAATTTAAATATCGGCATAGAGGGAAATATATAATCGTTTTTTGAACAGCGTGCGTTGGTACCACCTTGAGAACTCCATCAGAGCCCTGTCCAATACCAAATGTTAAAAATAAAAAACAGTTGGCTCTAGTCGGGAGGTCGACTAGGCCTGACCTAAACCCTCTTCTACCAACACCAAATGCAACCGGGCTATGAGCTCGTTTGCTTTAGCAGTAATAAAAGTTAGTTTAAAAATAAGTAGCTCCCTCTATATTAAAGCAAACGAGAGTAGCGCTAGCTGCATTTGGTGTTGGTAAAAGAGGGTTCAGGGTATAGCCTAGCCGGGATCTTACGACTAGAACCTCTTACTTGTTGTTTTGTAGAATATTTGTATATTTTCACAAATGCATTAAAATTGTGGCTTAAATTGGTAGGCAATACAAATTGGATGATTTACTTGATTTATAGCTATGTGGTGGTAGCGGAAAGGTGGCGATAGCTATAGAATGAAAGATACTTGATATATATGTATATATCGTAGATGGTTTACTGTATGCCACTGTAGATGCGCGTACATATTTTTGTGGCGATAATTGCCGTTATAGCTCGCTATGCTGTTTCCAAGAATTTGCAATTGATTGTAAGCATAGCAGCAGAGACAGAGAGAGACTCTGCTGAGTGAGGTCTGATCGTGGGGCGCTGACTGAAGAAGAGTAACGGAGAGAACAATAGATGCACTATTTTGAGTGACTAATGGAACTAAGGAAGTTTGAGAAGTCAGTCTGCTCGCGCTGTTGACACGACAGAACTTGCTGTGCTACTAAATTGCAACTACGAGGGATAACCATATCTATACTCCGACATCCAGACATCAAGGGCACCAGCAGCGAATGGGAGTGATTCACATGTTACTTTGCCTAAATTTAATCCTGATTGTGCTGACGCGAACGCTTCATCCTGGTGTACAACAGTAGTTCCATATTTACAGACAACGTGCTGGAGGGCAGCGCCCTAGACGGCAGTGTTCACTGTTGTTGTCACAGATATGCTTTGCCGGCATTACTTGGACGCAGTTTAAAGAGCTGTTTATTCAACGCTTCGTGGGCATTGAGACGTCTGCTGCCATTCTAATGCATATTTTGAACGAGCGTCAAAAATCTGGAGCAGATGTTGCTGAATATGACAGCCGAATTGTGACTCTACTTACGTCTAAGTGGAAGACAAAAGATCTGGAGGAAATCGAAGTGTCGGTAGCGTTGGCTCACATGGCACAAATTGATAATAATTTGTTACGTTGGGTATTCACTGTAAAAACGCGCAACGAGCTACAACAGCAGTTACAGGCACATGC